TCTGTTTATAGATGTGGGGGATGGATCTTTTCTTTTTAGTGTAATCCTGTTTCTTTTACTGTGACTAACTGTATGTGCTCTCTGTTTAATCCTTTGACATTGGAACTGGCTTGGAGCTCACCAGCCTGGCTGTGCCTTCCTGGATAGGGACACTCATGGAGCTAGTTAATTTACCTGTTATACAACTGCCTTTTTTTGTATGTCTCCTTCCATCTAAATGAACCCCAATTGGCCTCAGCAGAAGGCACAATGAGGCCCAATCTCAAACCCGGCCTTAAGCAATAAACCTCCATTTGCGAAACAGTAGAGGATCCACCACATTAGGGCAGTCCCAAACCACATAATTGGTAGGGCTAGTGGATCCGGTAAGCCCTTAGTGAGTTTGCATCAATGCAGACTTGCCACAGTTCAGCATCGGGTGTGATGGGGAACAAATGCTGGAAGCAACACCTGCATTCAAATAAGTAATAATAATAATAATTTTAGAAAATCATAAGTTACGGGGAAAAAAAGACCTTATTAATCCAAAAAGAGAAGGTTATCTTTGAAATTGTTTGATTTGAATGTGCAAATATTTTTAAGAATGGGACAAATGTTTGATGCCATGTCAACCTGTGCCACAGAGCTAGCCATGCTCATGTGTTGCCATAGTAATGACTGCTTTCCTTTACCTTGTGAGGGAGGAGGGCATCCCATTCTCCTTTATACCTCCCCACCTTCTAGAGTGTGACATCCAATAGTTTAGGGGTAGTGATTAGGGGACAGTTTGGGATTTTGCCTCATTCTGGTTCTGCTGGAGGTTTCTTCTTGTGGAAAGTGAGTTTTTCTTCAATGTCGCTGCATGCATGCTCACTGTGAGGGTTTGCTAAAGAATTAGCGACAAAATGAAAACGAAGCTCGTTGCCCCAACCCAATTCAGGAGTTCCATGTCTTTCAAGTCGATTACTCGATGTAATCAACTGGTTTTCCTTAATAGAAAACTTTTAACCAATCTCACTGTATTGTCTCTGTACAGTGCCTTCAGATCCATTATGTTGTGAATTGGTGCTCTATAAATAAACTGAATTGAACTTTCATATAAACCATCTCTTTTTTTCTTTATATCCGGGAGAGTTATAGAGCACATGCTCTGGGTTTACCGATATGGCTGACAGTATTGTGCTCAAAGAAAGTCAACTTTTTCCAGTAATACAGAGATTAGACCTATATACCCTATGAAACATGGCACTTTATGGCTGATCTATCAAATAATCTTTTTGAAAGTGAAATTTGTTTTAAATTGGTGCATTACACACTTTGAGGCATATTCCAATTTTGTTTAATTTCAAATTGTTTTGATGCAGTCAGACCGAAGCAAAGAATGTCTGTGGAACGGTTTATGGGCTGAATTTCCGTCCATCCAGAACATTAGCAAGAAAAGGGCAACTACCATTTCAGACATTTCAGATCCCACACAACCTGTTTGGACTTTTACCTTCAGTTTGACGCTTCAAAACGCTATTTACAAAACCAGTTACGGCAGCGACAGTTTCTCCCCCCAGGCTGTCAATCAGACAAACACGCCTTTTCTGTGGAAAAGCAAATCAAATATATTTATATGGCAAATTTAAAAACTGCCATAATTGGCCGAAATGCTGCACACAAAAGAAACACATTACAAATTTCAAATGTAAAAAGAAAACTACAAAAGGAGTCAAAAATATCAGCTGCAATGCAAGCAAGTACTCATCAAATGTATTTTAAGGAGAAATAAAACGGAGGTAAAGCCTCTAATATGCGGCTGAAATGCATTTAAGGAGCTATAACTAAAAAAATGCCAGATCACCTGCAAACCTCCTAGACCTTTTGTCAACTAAACAGAAGTAGAGAGACTGTAGGCGGTCAGACATGCATAAAGGAATCGGCCCATTCAGGGTTTAAAAGGTCAACGATAACATTTTTTTAACGAGTAAGGGGACTGTAAACAGAAACAAGCACTGGGGAGTTAGGAGGTAAAGTACCTGTTTGAAATTACAAAGTTTCTTTTGAATAAGTTTCACTATATAAAGGGGTCTTCTTTCTACAAAGGGCTATATTTGTTTGCACAGATAAAATGATATTAATAACATTTGTAATAGGAAAAAAATATGTTCATATTTACAAAAAGAAAATATTGTATTCTCCTTTTTTTATAATGTATTTTAAATGTCTCCCTTAAGTGCAAAAGTGAATCCGAAGTCAAATTTCAGGTTGTATGAATCTACTTGGTGATTTAAGAATCATTATGGTTCTGATTCAATCCTACGGCGCACCCTACTGACGATGTAAGTACATTACACCTGTTTTTGTTTTGTTTTTATTTGTGATTTTTGTTCAAAAAATATTTTTTTCTTTTTAAATAAGGGGTTTAGTGTAGCTTGAAAAGTAAAACTCAGAGGCTTCAGGAAGACATCTTGAATGAATTACTTGACCTGGAATGTTAAACATACTCCCGTCATTTGGTTCTGCTTAACAGTTTGTGGGAATAAATGCAGAATCTAAACAGGCCTGCTTCTTATTCAAAATTAGTCTAAAAAAAAAAAAAAAAGTTTATTTTATTAAAATTAGATAATGGCTTATAGAAGTTTCTTTATTTTCAGGGCCTGTTCCTGCTATAGGTACTGAGCTGGTGAACATCATGACAGTATACTGCTCTCCCTGCATACAATAAAACTGGAGACTCCTTACATTTTTAGAACACGAGTAAATATTAAATAAATACAATTAATAGTTTGTTTTCATTACCACAATGTCAATATTTAATAACTTTATTTGGGGGTAAAATTATGGAAAAAAGCTTAAGATTTTCTTCAATATGATAATTCAATATGGAACGTTCTGACCTCAACTGGTAAAACAGAAATGTTAAATATACACCTAATGGTTCATTCAGACCGCACGCGAAGGCTGTAGTAAATGCGGTGGATTCACATAAAATTCCTATAAAAAGAGCACAGTTCCTTCAATTTTTAGAACCTTTCAGCATTTGAAACAGTTTTTTTTTCTACCTTCAGCTAACATGTATTATCCTTCAGGTTTAATGGTTGGAGTTTCCATATTGCATGCATGAAATGATTTGAAAAAACATGCTGAGCTTCTCACTGTTTACTCCTTTTCCCCCCCAACAAACTGACTGGCAGTTCACAGCAGCAGTGGAAGGAGGAGTAGTAATTTGTTTCACCATTCTCCATACAGCTGAGAAAAACTAATCTCTCCAGCCTTACAGTACCTATGACTCCTGATTAAAGGAACTTCCCAAATGTTGCATCAACATCAACTCTAATTCAGGGCTGTAGAAAGTTTTATTTACCTTGAAACTTCTCCTAATTCGTATCCAAGTACATAAACAAGAGTCTAGGGTTCAATAGACTTTTTTTTTTTCTCGTTTCAATTAAATACAATTAAGTTTGTTTGCATTAGCTCAGTATCAAGTAGCTTTAGTTGGGGGGCGAAATGGAGGAAAAATCTAGATCTTTTTTTTTTTCAATATGGTGAAACTATAGCAAGACCTTAAAAATACACAGAAAATAGTCAAAACTTTTCAAGCAATGAGGATTTAATCAAAAAATTTATATAAACCTTTCTTAAATGTGGTGGATTCACATAGAATTTCTATACAAAGTGTGCGGTGAGAGCATTCACTGCTCCGCGCTTTTGGTGTTTTGGCAGAAATGTAACACCATCCACCTTCACCTCGTGTTACTTACGGAAGAGGATTAGGGCCACTGGGAAAAAAAAAAAAAAGTTAACTGATTTTTTTTATTTTATTTCAGTATAGTATGGGGAAAAAAGTCAGAATTCTGACTGAAAACAACTGAAAAGTTGTTTTAATTTAGTGCTAGAAGCACTGCTCATCCTCCCTCACCTCCAGCACAGAGCCCGGTCTGTTACTGCCCACTGCCCAGCATCAGTGCTCTAGTTCAGCTGAATCTGACCGAATCAGAGCTGCGTCTTGATGAACCAAAGTGGAATCTTTTAGGGGTTTATCGAAAAAAAAAAAAAAAAAATGGTCTCCCCAAGGCAATCCAAAAGTTTTTTTATGATCAGCAATTTAGCAGCAGTCCATTATGTTAAAGGAATAGTACACCCAAAACATGATTAGCCTTCATTTTCTACTCACCCCCATGCTGAACAACACTCTGGAGTACTTTTTTGATATCTCAAATGCATCTGGAGATCTGGGAGGCTTCTTGCTGTCTGCTGACATTCAAATAATGGAGGTCTATGGTGCCCGAGGCAGAAAGGTCCATAAAAGTCCACAAAAAACGTGTCAATATTCCTCCATACTGCTCGTCCAATGTATTCCAAGTGTCCTGAGTGGGTAGCATCCAGAATTTACTCGAAACGAAGTCATTTAGAATGTTTTTAGAGCATAAACAGTAGTGTATAGGATTTCCTAAAAGCGCGTTCACGAGTCTACGGAAACCGCGGCAGACCAAACCAGATGAAAGTGCGCATTCAGCTCGGCAAAGAACTCATGCTCTTCCTCAACACTGAAGTCCTCAGACATTTTTCTTTCGTTGTTTCTTTCTTTGCACAGGTAAACAGCACATTTCTTCTTCTACGCTTGCATTATTGGCAGAGCAGACGCTGAATGCGCACTTTCGTCTGGTTTGGTCTGCCGGCTTCCGTAGACTCGTGAACGCGCTTTTAGGAAATCCTATACACTACTGTTTATGCTCTAAAAACATTCTAAATGACTTCGTTTCCAGTAAATTCTGGACGCTACCCACTCAGGACACTTGGAATACATTGGACGAGCAGTATGGAGGAATATTAACACGTTTTTTGTGGACTTTTATGGACCTTTCTGCCTCGGGCGCCGTAGACCTCCATTATTTGAATGTCAGCAGACAGCAAGAAGCCTCCCAGATCTCCAGATGCATTTGAGATATCAAAAAAGTACTCCAGAGTGTTGTTCAGCATGGGGGTGAGTAGAAAATGAAGACTAATCATGTTTTGGGTGTACTATTCCTTTAAGTTTCACCTGTGCTTTTATTCTGAAATACTGACAGACAGCAAGACCAGCAAGGCAGGAGCTGAATGTTGAAAAAACCCCCTGAAAAACTGAAAGAAAAAAAAAAGCTGCATGTTGAAGAAAACTGTAAATCATATCACAGTCTCTGTATCAAACCGACCGTATCAATTCGGTTTTTTTTTTACACCATTTTTTTTCTCCCAATGTTTACATTTGATCACTGCTGCACTTTAATAAATGGAAATGTCATTTTGTATACACAGAGTTTATACAAAATGATAATAAAGTTTGTCTAAGTCTAACAAATGACACAGGATAAAGACGAGCAACAGCAGGTCCAAAGCGGAAAGTCTGGGAGGCTGTTTATTTACTAAATATTAATCATTCCAGCCACTAAATAAGGGAAACATTCCCACTGTTATAATAAATACCAGCACAGGAATGAGATGTGGTGTTCTGCAATAACTTTATATCACGAAACGAGCGCAGCACTAAAAATTAGGAATACTTCCATCTTAAAAACCATATCAACTAAAACGCTAGTTTTACCTGCGCAAATGAAAAGCTCTGAAAAAGTAGGCTAGATAATTTTGATTCAATTCGGAGGCGATAGTTGACCCCTGGGTAACCTAAATAAATTATCGTCAATATCTCTGAAACAACAGCTTAACATATGACCATTTTTTTATTTATTCATTTTTAAATTTTACAAAAGAACATTTTAAATGCTCAAAATTGCACTAATGAAGCAATAACCATTCGGTCTATTTGCATTTTTTCACTTCAGTGGGGTGTATATGTATTTGATGATGCAGTCCAGGTTGTAAACATAGTGCATATGATGCAGAGGCACATGTGGGGTTTGAGGAAATAGCTGCGTTCACCAACTCCTTGTGAACGCACCATAACAAAACTGCTGGAAAAATCTGCAGTAATAAATAATAAGATAAACAATGGCATCAGTCTTGTAAGAGATGCGCTATCACATATATGAACCAAAGATCTGTACAGTCTGGTTTTCAGCTCAAATAGAAACCTTGACCCTTTAGAAATACCTTCCAATATTCTGATTTTTAAAATTAGATTATCAGCCAATTATTCTGAATATTGATGTAAAGTGACAGTGGCATAAGTTTTGTTTTTATATTTATTTAATCTATCAACAACAAATATTTATTGGGTCTAGTAAACATGGATGAATCCAATTTTTTTTTGCCCTCACTACCTTTCAACCCTGTATTCTCCTTCCAACCTACTGCTCCTAATGTTGTTGTTGTATAATTATAACCCTGGAATCCTGACCTCGTGTAAACACGCAGAAAATGAAAGACGTGGAGTGTTTTTCATGTAAGCTCCTTGTTATTCCAAACTCCTTCGAGACAAGTCACAAAAAAAACAAAGTTCACAGGATTGCAGTTCCTGATCTCTGCTGTGGAGTCACTCTGCTTTGGAGGGCCTTGAACTCCTCTATGAGAGAACTCTTTTGCTCCTCCAGCTCGACCAAGCGGTTCTCAAGGCATCTGACGTATTCATTCTTCTTTCGCCGACACATCCGCGCAGCTTCCCTGGAAGCAAAAGAAGCAACAATCAGAAAATTTAACATCTGTTCTTCTCTCCAAGATTAAATCGAGACCTGATTGCTGTCATAATGAATGGAGGCTTCTTGTGTAAGGTACAGATTAGGGATGCACGATATTTTAAAACTCATGTAGCCGATAACTGATATCGATACCGATGTTAAAGCTGGACAAAAATAAGTAGTCATTGAAAATAGCAGTTTTGTTATCCATTTCTGACACTTTGAAAAATAATATACTCAAATATATTTTCATATGCTGATATCAAATTAATTTTTAAAAATGCGATATAGATCTATTTTACTTTCAAAATCT